CATATTGAAACTTCTAAAAGACGTAAATTAAAATTTTTTAAAAAGAAGGTAAAAAACAGTTTTATAAAGCCATAAATTGCACATAATTTTTGACCTATATTTGTGAAAATGTTTTCAGCTTTTGTGCAGTCAACTCACAAATCTAGCTGCTATTCACTGCAGTACACAGAAAGTATTCAAAAACTTAGCAGTTTTGGTTTAAACTGACATTACGCAAAGCACTTTATACAGAGAATTCTTTACTTTTGCAAATCAAAAACAGCAATTATTGATCAGATCACTCCTAGTCAATTCGTGCAACTTCAAAACTTACTAGCCTAAATTTTTCAAAAATTTTAGATTCTGGTAAATCAGAAAAACTTGATTTTAAAAATAACATAACCAACCAGCATCTCTTTAAAGGTCCACTAGGATTTAAAACTTTTGCTTGACCAGAACTTCTTAGAAGTATTGCAACTCTATCATTTGTGCACTAAACTATGTGAGTATAAATTTGAATGAGAATCTGTTAGTAAATAAATCCAAAAGGCTTCAAAAGCCATTCACTATCAGAGGCATTTAAACATTAAGTAACTTCAAAAACAAAAAATTAAAATTTGTAAATTTCACAGTCGACATAGAAGAAAACTAGAATAGCTTCCTAGAATAAAAAACAGTGTAACTAGATCAGTCTAAATGAGAATAAACGATAAAAAACATAAGCTCTTTTGATCTGGTAGTCCCGCTTTTTCTCCGCCTCCGTGGGTGAAGGTTGCAAAAAAGACCCTCCCCTTTCCAACCGCAGTTAAAAAAGGTTTTTTTGCACCGCTGTTAACCTTCTGGGAATTCTTAATCTCTAACTTCTTTCTAAGTTCAAGACACGACCTTCTTGAATAACGTTTAAAACGCATTTATGAACAACGTTATTAGCAAGCAACAGTCATAAACGCGAGTAGTGGTAACAACACAGTAAAACAAAACAAACAAATATGAACCGGAATTTCAACCCGCCAGCAACGTTCAAATTAGAACTGAAGTCTTATTCAGGCTCAAATTGCCTAATACACTCTTCTTGGCTAGACTGCATTGTTAATTAAAAAACACAAAAGGTGCGTCATTTACTGACCGGAATCTTCTTACCTCCCCGCTCACCTCTTAACAACTTCGCAATGCCTCAAGACCCTATTATTCAATTCTCGTTCTCACAACATCCACTGGACCAAGGTCTGTATCATCAGGTTAGGCAGAATAGCACGACCTGCTTAGTCTACCGAAGAGAGTCTGATCTGCTAGATGTCCAGAAGACGAGATCCGATTCTACATAAACAACCAGTAAACAGCACTGCACTGGCTAGAGTTGCAGTTTGTTAAAGTATGATCAGATACTGGTGATCATAGGCAGTCTAGAAAATTAGGACCACAAGTTGTAGATGACTAATGAAAAGGTGCGGCAAATGTATATAAGCTGTTGTATAGTCAGTCCAGGGAAGAGTGCGATGCACAAATGGGTTACCATCACTCTTAGAGCACTCTAGCGAAAGCACGAGAGAGAAAAGGAATTTAAAAAAACAGAAACGATTCGGTGTGCTCTAATAAACCAACAACTGCTGTCCGCTTAAAGCAGAGGAACAGCTTAAGGTAAGCAGTAATATACTTGTTGCGAAAAACTATCAGAAACTGAACTGTAGTGAAAAATGTAGTAGCAGTGCGAAATTTATTAAGTACCTGGAGCTGCTGTTAGGGGTACTGCGGTTAGAGACATTTCGGAAACTTGGAACTACATATAGTGTATCAAGTTTTGTTTAAATATCTTCCTCCAAATAAATTGTGCACGATAGGGCTCTGTCTCAAGTTCGTGGCTTTATTGCATTTATTGGTCTTAATAAAACAGAGGGACATTTATGCGATTGCTGTTCGTTGACTTCATTGCCTAAAAAGAGATTGAGACCACCAAACTGAAAGAGCTTCTAAGATAGAAACCCAGAGGGCCTACGCAGTTCTATCACACTATTTGTGAGCTTTTTAAAGCTTTTGGCAAACCGAGTCATTGGTGTTTTTGCATGAGCCTGTGACAGAGTGGATAGATCGCAACTTGTAATTGACTTTTACGTGCCCATATCCTTGAGGAAGGTTTTCAGAACCGCTGTAAGCTGCTCATCTGTCTGAAATAATGGTAGCTCCTTGGAGGATATACTGTCGGATGCAGTGCGTGGAAGTAGCAACACCTCATTGTTTCATGCAAACAATGTAACACTTGTTGATGTCCATCTGAATGCCTGCGAAATATTACTGATGTAGAATAAGCCTGCCTCCATTTCTTACTCTTTCTCAAAATTGAAAAACTTTTGTCAGTTTTGACGGATCTACTCGGTCTACTTAACTGAACTGAATGTGTTCAAAAGCAGTAAGCTCACACTTCAAGAAAGGACTTAAAAAAAGCGATAACAGTATCGGTGCTTAATGTAATACCAGTATCTTAGCAACCGTCCAACGTGGTTTGGTCGTAACTGGCATACGAAAATGCGATTAGCAGTGCGGTAAATGGAACAAATCTTAAACGCATAAAAGTTATTTTTCAAAAAATATTCTCACGCAAAACCCTATCTCTTTTCTACAAATTTATTTGTTGCATCTAAAATACCTTTACTGAACGTTGCCGTTCTTATTCTTTTCTCCAATAAAAGTCATTCAAATAAAGCAAATCAAATGCGCCGGGTGAGAGCAAAAGTGGTAACCTGTCCTCAAACTCTCTATTAGAAAATGTTCTCAAAAAAACCCTCATGCTTAAAGTCACTTAAGCAGTCTATTTAAAAAAATAATTTCAAAAAACATCTCCTGCTTCTTCTCCTGATCTTTTGCCTCTTTTTCGTTGAAATCATTTACCTATCTTCTCATTTTCTAATTGACCACCCCTGAAAAGAAACAGTGTTTTTCTGATGCTTTATAAGTTGGGTGAATAGACCGGTTTTAATTTCTTCCCAACTTAAGCGAGCGTCTGCCGATGTGGTAACTCTTTTTTGCTTTTCACGTATTTGCCTTTATTCAACCAAGTCAAGTTTTTGGGAGGTGTTTTTTCAGCTATCTTAATCCTCGAAGTTTTTTTTCGTGT